ATTTGTAACTGCATCATCCATTAAACCACCAATAGTTTGTTGTTTTGTTATTTTTTGAAAGTCTTCATCTCTTTTGAAAGAGAGCTTTTGAAAAGAAGTCATTTTTTATAGATTTATTTATTTATGCATACAAGAACTGGGGTACAGGCCAGACGTGGGGGGTGCAAGGGGCGGAGGAGTTGAGAGGATTCAACAGAAACAGAGTGGGGAACAGAACAGGCAGAGGAACACAGGCTGGAAATGTTCAGTTAGTGCAGCTTTTTTGGACCCCTGCATTTCCTTACAAAGTTTGTAGCAAAGTATTCTCTTCAGAAGCTCCTGCCAGGACCCTGAAAGCCTGAAGTGGAAGTTAACAGCCTTCTTACACCAATAACCACACCCTGAAATTATTTTATTTCCTTTTATGGTTACAGACTACTTTTAGCAAGCCCTGTAAGGGGGTCATAATGGGGGGAGGATCTGAGTACAATTCCTTAGAGTGTCACAATGCCATGTAACTAATTGTGAGGAACAACTGCATAATGTGCCATTGATTGCAGCTACCTAACAATGCATAGCTTGAGGGCATGTGCTGTCTGTCATCCTCAGAGTCTAAGACAATCTTATCTCATGAGGAATGCCTTAGAAGTTTGAAGAAGAGGAGAACTGGTGTGGTAAAGGCAACAGCCTTGGACTGAACCTTGAAATAAAAATGTAGATAAGGAAACACTAAGAAGGCAAGAATCTCATCTATCTTGTTTCCCAGCTTTCCCCTAAAGCCTTACTATATGACACAAGAGTAAGCACTGCTTTGCAATCTATTGTTGGTCTCCATCTGACTGAACATAATCTAGGCCCAATGTCTGGAAGTGTGCTATGAGGTTAAACAATGATGCTACCTTTAAAACAAAATAAGAAAAAGCTACAAAAATATACCATTCTGTTTCTAGTTGGGGCTTGATACAAGTAATTCTGCAAGACAAAGACAGTAGAATTGTGTTAAGGTACAGAAAAGTTTATGATAGAGAACTCATAAACTCATTTAGGGGTTTATCAGAGACTTTAAATTGTGAAAATTTCAACAATGAAATGGACCCATTCTTTGAACGAAGAAAATTTGAGTTTCGTTTATTTCAAATCCTCTCGAGCTTTTATTAATTTACAAACTTTCAGTCTGAGACCCACTTCACTTCCTTTGTATTACAGCCAGCACAATGCATCCAAGCATATGCACATAAAAATTTTTGATAGTGAAAAAATTATCAGAAATGTGAAAATCTTATTTCCTAGATGTTTATTGTTTCCTCTCTCTCTTTGGTGAAAGAACTCTACTCTGAGTTCTGAATTTCTGATACAGAATGAAACTGGACATGCATTTTAAATGAATGTGCTATTTTTATTAAAATCCTTCAGTTTTCCCCTGAATTGAGGATTTACAGGCAAATATGTTAAGTTTAAGACAATGTCATTGGGGTGGGTGGGATGTAAAGGGACTTTTTTTGTGTGTTTTCCTTTATTCCTCCTTCCCTACCTTATGGGTATAATACCTATTTCAGAGATTCTTTCATTTCTAGTAGAGTGAAACATTTTATGAATCTGTGGCTTCTGGTATGGATATGATTCCTTGTAAACATCTTTTTTCCCCCCAGTCATTATTTATGTATGACAGGGGGAATAAATGCAAATATTTCACATTGAAAAAAAAAATCTATGGAAGTTACAGGTTGGTGACTTTCCCTCTGCTTCAGTCTCTTCTAAATACTGAAAGGATATTTATATATGTCTGTCTCCTTTTTTACTTGGGAGTACCATTAAATGTAATTAAAGAACCAAAAACAGGAATATAGGTCACAGATCAGAAATGACTGTTTACTCTGTGAACCTAAAATGAACTTTGGAACTTCTTTCCCCTTCCAACAATACAGCTGTGAATAATGGCCCACAACCCTTGCACTCAGTATGAATGCCTAGAGAAACACCACCACCTGTTCCCTGCCTCCCATCCCACACCCTCAACACACACACAAGCAGTCAAGTTTCTGTATATACAACTTTTATTTTTGAATCCACATTTCTTATTTTACAGACATTACATTCTGTAGATTTCTTTTCAAGGAAAATGTCATTGGATGTAGGTAGACATGATGAAATTTACTTAAGGCTTATGAAAACACCCACAGACCAAATTCCTGTGATAGGCTTCAGCATGAAGTGTAATCACTACACTTGTTTCAAAGCTCAAATGCCAGTTACTGTCATAGATAAGAACTTACCCAGAAAATAGGGCAGGACAGTTAATGTAGCTAATAACAAAGAAAAGTCAAAAGGGGTTGATTAACAGACTCCTTTGGAGGACTATGTGTTCTTAGCTCCATCCCTGTCTTATCATCCTAAATAGGACCTGATACCATCACCCATGTATCTGGAACCTGAATGTTTGTCTTCTCAGGAAGATTTGCTCTCTTTTCTAATTCTTGTAAATATTTTTAAGTTCCACTTGGTTCTTTGATGTTGTGAAATTCTGTATGGAAGTTATTTACCTCATTGAAGAGGTGCATGACATGGTGATAAAATTAGGGATAAAGATTTGCTGTGTAGTTGGAAAGCAAAAATAGCCTTGTCAAAAAAAAGTAGAATCAATATGTTTCCATATTTGACCATGTCAGTTTATCAAATTGGGAAAGTGAAGGTCAGTGACATATTTTAAGGTGATTAAATAGTAAAAGGAGAGTGTCTTTCAAGACAAGAAATAATACATACTGTATAAGAGCAACTGAAGAAAAAATTAAGTGGGAACAGATGGGGATGTCATTTACCTTAAAACATCAAAACAATTTAGACTGATATTTTCTTCAAGAACAGGAGATTATTATGACAAAGGAAGAAAAGTGAAATGGTTGTATGTCATAAGTAGGTCATAATGACCTTTGTAAAATATATCAGAGGAAACAATGGGAAAATGCCAAAAATGTATCCATCCAAAGAATGCTAGACTCTCCTTTCCTTACCTGTTTACCTGAAGATCACCACTGCTTCCTTCAAAGACCTAGCCCAAACGTCACCACCTCCAGGAAGTCACTGCTGATATTACCATGCAGTACCCAGGGTTCCCTGGACACTGAGTTTCTGGTCCCTGGGCCACCATCCACCCAACGCTCCATTATAACATTTATCACCCTTTAGGGATCATTTATATTTCTGCTACCTACCACCGCCTCCCCAACTCTGTAAGAGTTGTAATTTTCTCTTCTCTGTGGTCCTGGTACCTGGCAAAGGGGAAGGGTATCTATCCAGTCAAATTTTACTAAGATGCTTTATATTAGCGGCAACCATGTGTCTGCAGGTGTTTTTTGAAGAATATATAAAATCAATGAGACACTTCTACAAAGAAGTAGATATCTTTCTGCTAAGTGCAGATAAAAAGCTTAGATATTATACATACACAAACACAGGAAGATTATGAAAAGTGGAGAGAAAAAGGTAATATCAGGTTGGGGGCCTGGGACCTAAAGAAGATACTGTGATAATTTCCCCCATTTATTATTTAGTTCACATGGAAAGGCACGCTCTCTCTCTTTCTCTAGCTCTCTAGCCAAAGAGCCAGAAGAAAAATGCCTAGTTAAAAAAATAATAATAATAATAACAGCACTAGCCAAGCACCATGGAGAAGACCATGGCCCCATCCATCCTGCAAGGGCTGAGTGGGGAGCCAAGGCTTCCTTCCTTGCCAGGTTACAGTCCATGCATCAGTGGGGACCATGTGGGAGTAGGAACGAGGCACCTGCACATCTCAGACAGGGGGGCATCAATGGAGCCTCAGTGGTGAGCTGAAGTCCCACCCTGCTCAGCAGCCCCTAGGATCGCCTCTCATCCAGGTGTGAATGGGGGTTAAGTGAGAAACCTGGCTCCCAGCCACATATAGCAGTGCTCCCAATTCTCTTGCTAGGGTGATATCAGAGAAACTCAGTGAAAACAGAAGGTTAAATAATATCCATAGTTGTATAACATAATACTAAAACTATCCAGGTTTCAATTGAAAACCATTCATCACACCCAGAATCAGGTAAATCTTTTCAAATGATAAAACACATAGATGACAACATCAAGATAACACAGATGTCAAAATTATCTGACCAGAATTTTATAGCAGCCATCATAAAAATGCTTCGGTGGGCAAGTATGAAAATGCTTGAAAGAAATACAAATCTCAGTACAGAAATACAAAGTCTCAGCAAAGAGATTTTCAGTAAAAAAAAAAAAAAAAGACATAAAAATTATAAACTTTACAATTAAAAATACAATAACTGAAATATAAAAACCGATGGATGGGCTCTAGAACTGAATGAATTAGACAGAGAAATAATCCATCAACTTGAAACTAGAACAATGGAAATTATCCAACCTAAACAAAAGAGAGAAAATACACTGGAAGCAAAATTGAACAGAACCCCAGGGACCTGTGGGATTAAAACAAGAAACAATGAAACTTTCTAAATTATTATATAATTTTCAGGTGCAAATTGTATTATTCAAAGTTTCTGTGGCCCTGAGGCTATTAAAGAACGATTATCAAATGAAGGACAGATACAAATCTTTGGTGTAAAAATATAAAATCTAAATCAAACCCAAGCAGCCTAAGAGTGAAGGTAGACTTTGAAGCTTCACAGACTGGGACTAGAGGACAAAGTCTACCTGGGGGAATTCAGGTTCATTTATCATGACCACCAAGAAGATGGGAAGTGAAGGTGACATGTCTCCTCGAATCCATGGAATTTCAAGATGAACACCTCAGTCCAGCACAGCTCTGCTGGCAAGGTCATTTCTGTGCACAGAGGAAAACATTTCTAGAATTGCAATGAAAAATGCCACTTGCAGGTATCAACAAGTTCTCTAAAATTTCACTACATAAGGCTCATTTTTAACAGATGAACCACTTTTAGAGCTATTTTTAACCTATGTTAATAACCATTGAGCAAATTGGGAATATTCTCTTTTGTGTACAAATGTAGAGTAGAACTTTGTAACAGGAGGTATACTCAGTTCACAGATCGTCCCTTAAAGTTTAACTTGCTAGCATCATTAAATTTGAAGAAACTCTAGCACAATAAAAAATAATACACAGGATTACATATTTTGTCTTAAGAGAATAAAAGAAAACATACGGAGCCTCTGAAATATTCTGGCTTCCACTATTTTGATTAAAACAAAATAAAATAAACTCCAAGTTAAATGGAATTCAGAATCTCTCTTAAATTCCTGTGAAGATGCTCTTATAACATGATTTTTTCCAATCCTATTCATTAGTCTAATGTTTGCCAGTTCCATAAAAATTTATTAAAGATACTAAGATTCATACATTTGGTGTCCAGATAACGTTCACAGCTACTTCTGCCTTTAAAGAGAAGCAGAAGAGCAGTTTTCGGTATAGTCTGTCTTTATTTCCCAAACTTGCACAACACATACAGCTCTTACACATTCAGACACGTGCAAGACTCAATAGGAACACACTCCTACTGCCATACTGAGGCCACAAGTTTCCCTGAGATGGTCATATCACAGAGGATTCCCACTTCTAACTCCGGATGACAGTTTCCAAACAATTCAATAGTGTAACAGAGGACTGTATAAAATAGAATGTTCTTTTAAAAAAATTTATGTTATGTTCTTGTAATAAAAAATATCAATCTTCTTGGCTAAAGGTTGGCAAATATGTCTTCAATTTTAAAATGTCTGAGATCGGCTCTTTTCTTTCTTGATAGAAGCTGAGTCCAGTGATGTGTTCAACATCTATAATGCGAGCCCTGTGCAACATCAATAACTCTTCAACCCATGAGGACTCATGCTTCCCATGCTGTGAGGAGTAAGGAAGAAAAGTCACTGGAGAACAGCCAGTTCACTTCTGCTGCAAAGTGTCCATCTCCCCAAATTTAATTAGTTCTGACACTTTGGTTCCCAAATGGTGGATGTCATAGATTGGTTAGGCGTGATCCCAATTCTTGATAAGCTCCCTGTCTTACATATACCATGCATATTAGTTAAAGTAGATGTGTCAAGTTTCGGAAAAGGAAAAAACTCGTGCAACAGATGTTCTGTATCATACTGGTGCAAGAAACTTAGTGGCGTGGGTTTAGAAAATGTTGGAAAACAGAAACAACATGGCATGGTAAAAGAATATGGAAATTAGTTTGAAGAAATTTAGATTCCAGTCCTGTTTCTACCTTTCCCTATCAAGTAAACTGGGGCAAGTATTTAACATCTGAAGCCTGCTTCCCCTGTGTGCACCCTCCTTAAAGTATTATACTGAGCATCAAATGCAATGATGTACACAACTGCTCGATACAAACACTAGCTCTTCACAGAATTCATTATCTATATAAGAACATGAAGAAGGGGCTGGGGAAAATAGTAAAACACTATCATTTCTGGTGAAGTAGTGAAATCTTAGCTAAAATGGAATGAGAATACAATTTGAAAGTTGTCAGAGAGTAAATCCTTAAAGTTCTTATCACAAGATGATGACAGATGTTAACTGGACTTATTGTGGGATCATTTTGCACTATATACAAATATTGAATCATTAGGTTGTTTACCTGAAGCTAAATTTAATGTTATATGACAATTATACCATGAAAAAAAAGATTAAAAATAAAAGCAAACAAGTAAGAATTAAAGGCTGGTCCCTGGCAAATAGAAACATGCAGTAGCTGAGGCGGGTGATAGAAATGGAAATCAAACATCCATGTGATGGTGTAAATTTTTCTGAATATGGCTACTGGAGAAGGACAGATGAAGAATGTTCTCACTGTTTGATGGGCTTTGATTGTACTTTAAAGGCATCCCTCAAGAAAGGTTCATGTGCCCTTGGGACATTATTAGTTGGAAATGATAAACACAGACTTTTCACACAGATCATCTCAATAATTTCTAAATTCCCATTAACCCTCAATCACCCGCTGTCAGTACTACTGCCCATTCAGCCGCCTGCAGCGATCTTTACCCTGGTTCTAAGAGGAACAGCCATGACTTAGTAGACAATTTGGCCAGTGGACATCTGGCATCTCTTCTGACATTCACAGGAACATTTAAAAAGCATACACAACGCATCAATTCTCTCAGGCCAATATTCAGCTAAGAGGAAAAATCAGTAAGCATTGGGATATAACTTCAAGTTATATCCATCAAGTCTTTTATTTAGGGTCCTTTACGTACATGGCCGTTGTAGAAAATGACAATGTTTGCACTTAAGGTGTGAGCACAATAGCTGTTGGAATGGTAGAGATAGGAAGGAAACTCCACACCTAATTTATGACACTTATCATTTGGGTCAAAGAAATGTAAACATAAGCCTGTTACTGACATTGTGGGGAAAACACAGAATTCAGATATAGCATGCAGGGAAGTAGAAGCCATCTTTTGCACACATGGGCCACAAGCTAAGAAACGGTGGCACAGAAAGACAGGAAGAGTCTGGTTCCCCAAGAGTGCTGCTCACCTGATGCACCATCCTGTTTAACTCTGAGTTTCCTCTTCTTCTAAGAAACCCTTTACTTGCTCAAGTTACTGTAATTAGGTATTCTATTATATGCTTCAGAACACAATACTAAATGATACCTTTAAATTAAAGGCAATTTAACTTAACAAGGAAGAGAAAACAAAGATACAGTCCATGATACTGACCAATTAGCAGAGTAGATGCCTAAAAGGCATCTAAATAGCCAAAATCTTACTATTCTCTACTTAACTCTTAAGAATAATGAAAAAATAGCTTCATAAGAAATATATTCTATGAGAGACTGGTCAATTAGTTCTGAAAGTTTATGAGCAAAACAACTAGAGAGAGACGTATCTTCATTCGGAATGGTCACTCCTGGGCCTACAGCAGAGATCCACTCCTGGGCCTACAGCAGAGATCACTTTTTGTTTACTGCTGTGTCTTTAGTACCTACAACATCTGTGTTAAATGAATGAATGGCTGAGGGGACACTGACACTGACACATTCACATTGACGCATTGAGAAATCAATGAGTGATCGCAGCACTTTCTCTTGCTGAGCTCAGGCTGGGCCTCAAGATCCTTTTGACCACATTATACACACCACTCATCCAATGAGGCTGGTAGGAAAGCCAAAATCTATTTGCCAATTTGTATCTAGACTTACTTTGTGTAAATTCAATGGAAAAATAACACTTAGGAAATCTGGGAAATGCTCTGAAACAAAAATATTTTGGCCTCCTCTAAGGAAAAACTTAAAAACTGTTAAAATTTTAATGCAGCCTTGATGCCAAATAGTTACGGTTTAGATTTTTTTTTTTTAATTTTGAGCAAATAAGATGACATAAAACAATTATTTCCAAGCACTGGAATAACAGAATAGAAAAGATAATTAGGGATATATATATATATATATATATATATATATATATATATATATATATTCATTCATGCATACAAGAACCAGGGTATAGGCCAGATGCAGGAGGGTGAGAGGATTCACCAGAGACAGAGTGGGGAACAGAATAGGCAGACCAACTGAAACACACTGCTGAGGGGAGCAGTGGGCGAGACAGGAGAGGTCTGCCGCACCATGTGGGTATCTTGCCATCTGGCCCGGATTGAACCTGTGCTGCAGAGACTGTGGACAGCTTCACAGTGCTGTGCTCAACCACCTGTGCCACCAGGGAGGCCCAGGGACATATTTTTATAATAATGTGATATATAGGAAATTAATTTGAAATGTTGTATAACCACAACTTTCAGACAATTTACAACAGTAAATTACAGATCTGCTTTTGAAACAAGAGAAAATTCATACTTCAAATAAGCCTAGAATTTAGTGGTGAAATCACACAAAATCACCAATATTTACATTTTGATCTGATCTGTAGTGTTTTCAGTAGACAAGTGTGATCTCTGAAGATATACCATCTGAGAGGATTAATTTAAAACCATCTTACAATTTCAAAGTACATATACAGATTCAAGTTAAGGCTCCGTCACAGCATTTTCAGTGTAAGAAACACACACAAATATACAAATATATTTTCATTGTTTAAGGTAAATAAACAAAGGTTACTTACCGCACAGCTCTCACTGTTGTCAGTCCTGTGAGGCAAAATGAAAGCTAAGGTATCTAAATTTTCACACTGTAAGGGAGTCTGGGATATATTTTTACAACTTGTTAGTACAATGAAGAAGTGAGTTGGAATCAGAATTTCTTGATTACGGATGGGTCTGGTGTTTCTGTAAAATATGGCAATATTCACTTTAAGAATAAAATAATTATCTTCCTTTTAAAGAGTATTTCAGAATAACATATTTTAATACAATACAGCTAAAGCAAAGATTCAAATAATCAAATACATTATAAGAAGTTAATAATCATACTATCAACATAGATTGAGAAAAAGATTTCAAAGATAGATAAACAATCCAAGTATTTTTTATTTTCTATAGAAATTTATTGAACTTTGGAATTTTGTAGTTCTATCTTTTTTTTTTTTTTTTAAGATTTATTTATTTATTTATACAAGCACTGGGTACAGTCAGAAGTGCGGGAGGGTGAGAGGATTCACCAGAGCCAGAGCAGGGAATAGAACAGACAGACTGACAAAATACACTGCTGAGGAGAGCAGCGGGCAGCAGGAGAGGTCTGCGCGCCATGTGGGACACTTGCCCAGCGGCCAGGTATCAAACTGGCCCTGCAGAGGCTGCGGGCAGCTTCACAACCCAGCACTCACTGCTGCACCATTGGGAAGGCCCTTTTGTAGTTCTATCTTAACACACTGGAATTGAGACATCGTGGAAAGGAAAATATAATTTTGAACTGCTACAACCAAGATCCTAAAGCATTACTGTCTTTCAAACTTCATATAGCTGTGGACAAGCAGTGGCCAGAGAAAGGAATGGTTTTGTCATTTTTTTTTTTATTCTCATTTCATCAAAGAAGCCACATGCTATGAATTTTCCTTTGTTTCCTTTAGAGTTATCCCAATAATTTTACTATTTTATTGCAGCATATTCTCAATGCTATCTCATTTAACATCATGACCTTATCTTAATGCTCTATCTTTGGGTTTCAAAGCTAAGCTGGTTGGTTGGTTTTTTCAACATCTTTCAAACTTCAATGTAGTGAGATCACTGCTTTCAAATAGAATCTTACACAGAACTATATATAACATGTAAAACAGATTAGTTGGAGCTGTGAGTAGGAAAGGCATTGAGTTTTCTCCCTTCCCCATTCTACTGTTGTGTCCTATGAGGCAGTTACAGGGGGACATGATGCCTTTTAAGATATAGTAAAAAAAAATTGGCTTTTTTAATTGTAATTTTACAAACTATTGTGGTCAGATATTTATGTGTAAAAAGGATCCCCAAATCAGCCTGAGAGCAGGAAATTCCTCAGACCAGGGCTGAGTCTCAGCAAAAGTTCCTGTCTTTTTTTCTTATATACATAATAACAGCAAAATGGTTTGCACAAATGTTGTAATTATTGTTTAAAATAAGACCAAACCAGCTCCTAAAATGTTTTCTCCCTCTCATTTCTAAAACTACAATAACCTGGCAGTTTTCTCAACAAGGTCGCTCTATCATTCCCCTCCAGCCAGGGTTCAGTCAAAGCTGTGACATTCACCCCCTGCCCACACATGGGCATTACTGATTTATAACCCAGTTGATTCGTTTATCAGGATGCCTCTACCCATATATCTCTTCATCTGCAGTATGTTAATTAAGACAGTATCTTACCAATTACCTGCATGGGGAGATTTTAAACACTGATGCTAGTTTTGTAGCACACAGCAGAGCTCAGCATTAACACTGAGCTCAAGAATTACACATCTGACTAAATGGGAGAGAAAAAATACTTATTTAACAAATATTTTTCTAAACACTGAACAAAACTTCAAACTAGTCAGATATTTCAAGGTACTTCCAGTATAACCAGAAAAGACATACAACAGGATCAGGTAAAAAAGCTTCTGCTGACTCACAGGGCGGTAATCACTGTTGAGAGCTATATTTAAGAGCAAATAAAATGTGTTCTTACTGCTTCAGTGTGTCTGAGGAATCATAACGTCCATCGTAGTCGAAGTCAAACACAGGGCCACTGACAACGTTGACGCCATTCCTTTCCTTGGCGTACTTCTGCAGTAGGGGGCCGTGGAAATAGCGCCACACAACTTAAGAAGGAAGACAAGGGTTTTCAAAAGAATGAAGAGCCATGGTGTCACATGAAATAATCAATCCTGCATTCAAACTGAACATTTGTAATATAGAGAAAAATCAAGTCTGACTTGGGTCTCAGTTTGAGGCCGTCAACATGAACTTGTGATAACATGTCACTATGTTAAGTATAAAAACTTCACCAACACAAACAAGGCAGGTTATTCAGATTTACTGTGAATATCTGCATATTATCACTGAATGTTCACAAGTAGGCTAAATGTAAATTAGAGTAAAATTTTCTCACATGCTGCATATTTTAAAATTTAATACATCATTTTAAATATAAATGCTTATCGATTCTTCTTATAAGAGTCAAATGCGACAAAAAATGATGCAAATTTGATTCATTTTAAAATCAAAAACAATTATCAAGAACAGATAAATAGGAAAACAGATAAATAAAACAGATAAATAAATCTTCCCAACAGATAAATAGGAAAACAGACTAAAGCAAATGTGTGAGTGGACCACACTAGCTAGTTAACCTTAAGGAGAATATCACATACTTTTTCCACCAAAAAATGTTGATAAACATTTCAATACAAAATAGAAGAATAGACTATTAAATATCACAATTCTAATATTTGTGAAGTTTTGTGTGTACTGGCATTCTCGAAAAAGACTTGTAAGATACCTGATAGTCATTTAATTTAGAACATCAGTCTTATTACATATAAATTATATGTACAGAAATTCATCAGAACTATAAAATACAGGGTTAAACCTTTTTACCTTGGAAACTCTGGTACATTGGCACTATATTAGTAGTAAGCAATGCTTCAGAATATATTTGATTTGAACCTTTATTTAGTTCTACAAAGAAAAACAAGAGAACAAATTGCTCATTCTTTACAAACATTAAATAAAAAAGTTGTAGTTTTTCATAGGTGTGATTTAAAAATTTTAGTCAACTATCATCTTAAACCTGTAAAACTTTTCCAAGTCAAGGGAAAATGCAATATATTTTATCAAGCACTTTAAAACTTTAGTAAATTAAACATGTTCAAACTTTATACTTTATTTGCCTTATTTCAACTAAAGTATATTGTGCTGACAATCTTTTTTCCTTAAACTCTTTTATAGTGAAAAGAGAAAAGAGACTATCTGGCTTCAAAACAACCAACCATCCAGAAAAAACATCACAGGATGTCTGCCTCAAAATGCTGTACAAGGCTTCTTTATATGAATTTTCAGCTTGGACCTGGTCTATTTTTATAATGCAATAGCCAAGTTCTGACTTCAGATACTTACTATGGGGACTGGAATGAATCTGGAGGGTATTTGAGTACCTGGAGCCTTCTGGGTTTTGCCTTTTTAAGGTCAGCCTAAAATGTCCTATCATTAACATACAAAAATGCCGCTTTAAAAAATAGAGCATTTGACTTCCAAAAAGACATTCCCTCGAGGCTTTGGATGAAGACAGAGCAAGCACATTTAAGGCTGTAGGTCTACTAATTCTATGACAAGTTACAGTGCACAAGAAAATGATCTCTCCTTAAGAATCCTGAAGCATCCTTCTAATTGCACTGAGTTTTCTCAAATTCTCTTTAAAAGAAAGGCAGAAAAAAAATAAAGATTATCTTATTTAAATTGTCTGCATTAAATCAACCACTCTCCAAGCAACAACAAAAAGATTTCCAAAATTCAAGCTTTACATACTTTAAAATTTTCCCTAGTAGTTATATTTCTCATTCACAATTTACACCAGTAAAAAACAAGGCTATGTACTTTGCACATACTATATGGTGGATATATATCTATATATCTATATCTATATCTATATCTATATCTATATCTATATCTATATCTATATCTATATCTATATCTATATCTATATCTATATAAAGGAAGCAGATAAAGTTTAATGGAACTGAGAGTAAGAGACTTACGTGGGGGGGACAGGAATGCGTAACTCAGTTTAGCATTGTTTTTATAAAATGAACATTTATGAACAGGATTAAGAGAAATTCGGAGATCCTGATAAAAACAGTTGGAAAAGACTTCTGTAGAAAAACTGTCCTGAAAAATAAAGTGAAAAAAAAAAACCAAACAAACATTATACCAGGCACATAAAAGAAAAGCAGCTTGCTTCATAAGTGGTTAACGTTCAACTACATCGTACAATTACATTGTTCTAATGTCTGCTCATGTCCTTCACTTATTTTTCCATTTTTCTCTGGGTATATTCATTAAAGATCTGAGTCAATCTTCCATGTTTAACCAAGCAGAATAAAGTTGGGAAGGGAAAAAAAGGCCACTGAATAGCAATGCAATATGAAAACCTCAGAAGTAGGCATGACCGTGACTATATGAAGTCTTGATTATATAAGAAAACTAGAGTTCACACAGAATCCAAAAACACCATAATTAAAGGCCTAAACTCAATATACAAGATGCGGACAAATAAAACATTGTGTAGACTGCTATATATTACAAAGTAAGAGCGTTTCCAGATGGTCTTTAAGAATTAAAAAAAAAAATCATGTTTAAGGCAGAAACTTTACATAAATAAGTGAATGCACATATATGTATATATTTCAATATATGAATTGCATATATACACATAAGTCCTTATTTTATTTACCAACCTCAGTGAAAGCTATTTTTCATTTTTAAATTTTTATTGCAGCAAGATCATTTTACAATATTACATAGGTTTGAGGTGACAGCATTAAAATTTGACATCTATACAAACTATGTATGATCCCCTTACTAACAGTCTAGTTTCCATGCACCACCACACAATTGCCCTTCATTCCCCAGTCTGCCCACCTTCATTCCCTTTCTTCTCATTTTGTTCTCATAACAAAATTTTGTTTCATGCTTACAGCTTTATATTTTGAGATCTGTATATATTACATTATGATTGCTACTAAAAGTCTATGTTTCCATCCACCACCAGGAATAATTTTACCTTTTGTAATCAAACAGAAAGAAATCCTTTTTCTCTCCTTTAGGGGCAGCCTATACTTTGCCAGATACTTTCAGTTTCTGAAAATCCAGTTAGTCTAGTTTAAAACTGCAATTCTCATCTGAAATCTAAGTTTCATCTCACATTACCATCCTCTCTTTCAAAGCCTATCTCAAACTTCATCATTTCTCTTTCTATCACAGCACCCAGAGGGTGGAGATGAGGGAGAATATTATTAGTTTTATTAAGAACTGTGATATCCGTGCCTACTCCTTTCAAGGCCTAAGCCCTCTGGTCTGGGGGTGGACAGGATGCCCAGCCGCTGCCTGGTCTAGTCTCTCATAGGTGGTACATGCACAAGGTTACTGAACTTCAATGGTTTTTTCCACCAGTCAGCCAGAAGCCCCTAAGATGTGCATAGTTGAGGGAAATCCTTGTGCTCACACAGGTACGTATGTAGAGATGGATGACTGTGACATTTAAAACTGATTTCATAAAATTATAAACTAGAGTCATAAAATACAAAAACCAAAAAATAAAAATTGAACCAGCCTCATTTCACAGGAGAAGAAATCTGCTGAATCATAGTCACATAGCTAGCCAGTGGCAGAGCTGAAATCTAACTTTTCTGACTTTGGGTTGAGTAACTTCTAATTTAGAAACTGGTGATAGAGCCAAGATAAACTGTAAGGAACAATGCTTTCAACGTTTTGCTTAATGAGGATGCATAAAACCACTACACAGGGCTCAAGGGGTGAGGTGAGAAATACTTGCATTTCTGTCCACAGTGTAGGATGTCCAAAGGGGCATTAGGATATCGTGGCTGTAAGCACTCACAAACTGGTGCTGGTAGAGAAGGCAGATGGTGTTATTCTTCCGGAGAATTCTGGGCCTTCCATAGGGTAAAGTACCACGCTTAATGATCTTCTCTTGGGTTATATGGAGAAAATGGAACCACCATTTAAATGTACTTAGTGAACATTATGTGATAATATACAATAATACATTCATCTAAATTTTACTCAACTCCTTTGAAAAATTATTTTTATCTCTAAGAAAACTAATTACAAAGAGCAAATCCATAAACAATCTAGAAGACAAAATGGATTCACTGTAGATTTTGACTATGGAGATTCTCAAAATCAATGTTAGATCAAAATATCACAAAATGATAACAAAATGGCTAGAAATTTCAGCTACTAGGAGTTAAATTATAATATCAAAATTCTTTGACACTATTTTATTTTATTTTATTTATTTAATTTCTTATTCTTCAAGACATGCTCCAGAGAGAAAGTTTTCTGGGTGATATGTGTACTTAGAAACCAAAAGTTCAAAATTCTAAGACTAAACTGAATGAAATCACAGTAGAATATATCTCCCATTTTCATTTTCCCAATTGCCAGGTGTTTTATGCTTCTAGCATCTAATTTAATTTTTATAAATCCTATGAATTAATGTTATACATTTATCTTACAGATGAGAAAACGCAGCTTGTAGGGAGTAAATATTTTCTCTATGGCTATAAGTGCCTAAGCTCATAATCAAACCCAGTTCTTGATTTCAAAAGTATCATCCTTCACCACAAAGGATGGTGGTACCATCAAGGATTTCTGTAATCCAAACATTCACAGAAATTTTATAAAGACAAGTCAAGAATAGTACAGAATTCACCTTTATATTCCAGCAGGATGAAAATATAAGCAAATAACTTAAGGACCAGAGACTATATCAAAGTGATGGTGAACATGCAAGTGACAGCTGACAAATTTCATCAGGTATCTGCTTATTCTTCCATTTATTATTATTCACAGGTGATGAAAAATAACTTTAGGTTAATAAATCAACTTAGGCTTTCTCATAATTAAGAACCAAGTGAGATAGAAATTTAACAGGATTTTATTTATTGTTTTTTCTGCACATCCATGTTTACTGCAGCATTATTTACAAATAGCCAAGCTATAAAACAACTCCAACCACTGATGGAGGAATGGATAAAGATGACAAATAATATGGAATATTATTCAGTCACAAAAAAGAAGGGAATCTCTTTTCTGACAGGTATTTTAAATGGAAATATGATATAACCCTACAAAGACCTTCAAAATTTCAAAACATCACCAACATGTTCATAAGGAGTGATTTAGCTTCCACTCAACTTATTATATGAGGTTCCCACTATAACTATCCCTTCTTTCTTTATGAGTAACAGTCTAGACTGTCAAGCAAAGAAATCTCTGCTTCATCAGGTGGTCTTCTATAACTTCCTTAGTTTTATTGGCTATTCTCAAATAAGGCTGAAACCTGCTTCCACTTTTCAAGCTCAACAATAAGCCTTACCTTCTGCCACGGTCAGATTCAACTGTGTCTGAAAATCGTCAACTGGCAAAATCTAAAAAGTTAATAATACCATCTTTAAAGTCTGAGAGACAAGTTTAATAATGTGTCAAATAATGTCTGTAATGTAATTATTTCATCATAGAACAAAGATAACATTCAAAACCATCTTTTTTAAAAATATGGGGTAACACTGGTTTACAGCAGTATGTTTTAGAAGTATAGGTAGGATAGCGTACAAGTGAAATTATTTTTGATGAAGAAGGTGAAAGAATAAGATGTTTGCTGCAAAAAAGACAAAATTGGTAGCATACCAAACTATTCATTGAAAAATAAGAATATAATTGCTATTTTATAGTTTTCGTTTCTATTTTTACTGTTGTAATTCTACAAGCCTAAAAGAAAATAGAAAGCATAAAACCATTTGCTCCTCAAATTTCTATCTTTATGAAAACTATCAATTCTATTCATAAGTGTTTACATTATCATATTCTTACAACAGCTCTAAATTAAAATAGGAGTAAAAAAGGAACAATACCATATATCCATTTTGTTCCCCCAAATGATATTTCCCCCCTAAATTTAAAATAGTTTGGAATGTTTTCAATAGGAGGAATATTATAACTGGTCCATAATTAAGACCTCGCTGCTAGGAAAACGGCACAGATTCTGATTCCAGATGTTTCAGGACTCAGCTACACTTTTCCCAACTTGTACTCAAGTCAAGTCACAGGGATAAAACTAGGTGGAAGCGCAAAAATACCAGGAGGAGGAAAAATAAATAATGAAAGATCTGCATGTGTCACTTGTATTAAAAAGAAATATGTTCACTCCCACTCATAAATTTTAATGTGATTATTAAATATTTCTACAGCACAAGCTGTGCAGAGGATATTATGAAATCCTGCACAGCCACGCTCAACTTCCCGGCAATACTTACCGAGGGATCACAGGAGCAGCCAAGGTGGTCTCTGGGGGTTGCTGTAATGGGGCATTGCATCAGGGGGCGGGCTTCTTTGGGATGCTTTGGGGTGTAAAAGGGATTCTTTAAAAGGTGGTTAAGGCTTCCGTGAGTTCCATTATTAGGAGCTGGTGTCAAATTCAGTAAATCTGCGTAATTCCAATGATGGTAAAGTGTTACTTATAAGTTTCAAATAAACAGTAGACTTGTACTATGGTTTTTATTTATTTTTTAAACCAACTCTATTGGTATCCTTCATCTTTATAAAAAGTCTCTTGGATTTTAGAACATTCATGACCACGTTATTCTTAAGGAAAATATGGGTATGTATGTTGTACTACTCTTGCTACATGCAGTTATATAACAATCACTTGACCAACACATTTTTCTTACTTAATCCTCAAAAGCACTTTGTTAAGTTGTCACTATTTGGTAGAAGAGTAATCAGAGTGCTGTGCTCAAGTTCTCAAAGCTACTACTGCAGTAGACGTTGGACTCAAAGCTTCACCTGAGTCTAAAACTCACACTCTTAGTAATAATAGCAAATATTTACATATTAAAGCAAATACTATATGCCAGGCATTGTTTTAAGTGCTTTCAGATGTCTTAATTCATTTAAGTATATAGGATCCCACACAAAGAATGCCACTTAGAAATTTAAGGTTTTGCAAATGTCCAGAAAAAGAAATATTTAAAACATAATCTCGAACCATAAAAGTACTAGTTGATAAAGAATAGGGTAAACCAAGGACATATGGATGGGTTCCTCTCCACTTCTATAACATCCATTCAATTATTATTGCTACCTGGGCTAACCACCTGTTTTATTTACCTTTCACAGTTCCAAACTCTTTTCTCTTTTCTCTTTTTCTCTCCCCCACTGATCTCATTCAATTGTCATATAATTAAGCCCAGGACCTGGCACTGGGGTGTACAGACCTCTCCACACTGTGTGTTGAGCTTTGCCGGTCTATGGACTGCAGAGGAAGTAATCAGAGGATATCTTTTGCACATTTTTTTCAATGGCTTTGGCTCAAGAAGAGGAAAAGTGGAAATGTGAGGTTCTAGTTGCCTCATCATCATCTCCACAAAGGGGCCCACCATGTGACACCTTCCTTTGATAATCCTATTCCAGCTCTGTTTTCAGAAGGGATGAAAGTTGCCTGTTCACACTTACCACACATTAAATTATAGACTTCAATATTTTCAAAGGCATCAACTTCAAAGCTGTGCTTGAATCCAGGTCCATAGCCAATAAAGAGGGCCTAGATTGGTCAGAAAAGCAACAGTTTCTCAACTAATTTCATTTACATATGTATTTGGTAAAAACAACAACACCCATATTTCATGTTATTCACATTGTACATCTATAAACTGGTTTTGTTAAAATAAATTTCTGTATACAACAGATTTTGTAGGCATTTAACTACTGTTGCACATTTAATGTAAGGGCATATTAGTTTTATGAATATTAATAGAATATTTCTCCTAGCTTTATTACAGTTCCTGTCTTGATATCAAAACAGAATGGTTAAAAATGGTTTTATTTTTGAAGGAGGGTAAATCTCATCTTGCCCACCTTTGCACAGTGCTACAAAGGCCAATTTGATAATTATTGTGAGGATATTTTGAAAACATAAAAATACCAGGCAAATGTGACTTATCTTTATTTAAAAAACAAGTATGATCTTTTCACCTATTACATCACTAGATTCATTTACTGTGGAGCAATATTCTTAGTGAAGCACAAATAAATGCAAAAATATTTATTAGAAATTTGGCAGGCAGTATCACACTTTCATGAAGTATGAAAACTTTAAACAAAACTCTATTCATTTCCTAAATGTAAAACAGCCAAATGAAAAAATAATTCTCCATTTATTCTCTATCAAGAGATACAGAGTCAGGCTCCCTGGTGGTGCAAAGGGATAAGTCTCAGCACTATGAAGCTGTCCACAGCCACTGCAACACGAGTTTGATCCCTGGCCAGGGAGGTGACCCACATGGCGCAGACCTCTCCTGTCTTGCCCACTGCTCCCCACAGCAGTGTATTTCAGTCAATCTGCCTATTCTGTTTCCCACCCTGTCTCTGGTGAATCCTTTCACCCCCTGCACCTCTAGCCTATACCCCAGTTCTTATATACATAAATAAATAAATCTTTAAAAAACAAAACAAAAGATACAAAGTCTATATTTTTAATACTAAAACTTTGTCAATATTTTTCCAGATATAAAGTACCATTTTTTTTAAAAAGTAGAATATATTTACTCACTTGCATATTTGAGAATGCATTATCAGAGCCATGAAATCCACCTCCACAATATTTCCTCTCCGAAGGATTCCTAATTATTTGCATAATAGAAATTAATAGCATAACTCATAAAACATTCATAAAGCAAAATTAATAACCATGACATTATCCCATTAGTAGTTTAGATTATTACTAGTTGTTATAATGCATTATCATAACCCATCAATAAGAAAGTAACTAATTTGTTTTTTTTTTTTTTTATAATATTTTTTTAAAGATTTATTTATTTATTTATTTGTACATACAAGCACTGGGTACAGTCAGAAGCACGGGAGGGTGAGAGAATTCACCAGAGACAGAGCGGGGAGCAGAGCAGGCAGAAGGACCGAAGTACACTGCTGAGGGGAGCAGCGGGCGGCAGGAGAGGTCTGTGCGCCACGTGGGACCCTCCTCCGGTGGCCGGGGAGCAGCCGGGGATTGAACTGGCGCCGCAGAGGCCGCGGGCAGCTTCGCAACCCAGCGCTCAACCTCTGCACCACCGGGGAGGCCCAGAAAGTAACTAATTTGTTAATCAAACAACTACTACTTGGTATTGAAAAGCATCAAGGGGGCACCTTTATCTTTTGTTTTGTAGACAAATTAACTTTAAGCAGTGGTAAAGAGGAGAAAAACCACCAACATGGTTTTGAGCCCTGACTGTGCTATTTACTAGCTGTGGCTTTGGCAAGTTAATCTTCTTTAACTTTCAATTTCATCATTTTGGGTTGTTTGTAAAAATTAAATGATCTAGCCTAAGTGGCGCAGTGGTTGAGCGCTGGGTTGCGAAGCTGCCCGCAGCCTATGCAGCGCCAGTTCGATCTCCGGCCACCGGGCGAGGGTCCCACATGGCGCGCAGACCTCTCCTGCCGCCTGCTGCTCCCCTCAGCAGTGTACTTCGTCCATCTGCCTGTTCTGCTCCCTGCTCTGGCTCTGGTGAATTCTCTCACCCTCCCGTGCTTCTGACTGTACCCAGTGCTTGTATAAATAAATAAATAAATCTTTAAAAAGAAAGAAAGAAAGAAATGGTTGGAACCTAGTAAATGTTCACTAAAATATTAGTTCTCTCAGGAGGGTAAACACTACCCCTTCTTTTATATTCTTCTTTCAGGCACTAAAAGCATAGCTCTCTGCTCACAGTAGTGCAATTCTGTAGACTGAGTTCTAGTTCACTACTTAAGTTTTGCTTTACCCCCTGTATTTATCATCCTTGGCTTCCTGGCAACCATCAAAAGAGTTAATGATCAAGTTATGAGATACTAGCAATATCAACCATCCAAATAATTTACCAAAGATACCAAATAATGGAGGTTTATTGATGAATTAGTATAAGAAAATTTTTTTTAAAAGCTGTATAAAAATGCAGGTAATTGCTAATTAATAAGAGCGTTTTTGCCAAATATTTTCTGCACTTTGCGGCTATTAGGCACAACTGTAATGAGCACAAGCAAATCATCAGCCAGTAGTGGCACAAGTCTGGAGCATAAGGAAAAACCGACATGGACATGAGCAGACAGAGTGGTGCTTCTTTTCTGGGCATCATCTCCCCATGCCAGGGGACTTTCAGCAATATCTGGAGACATTTTTGTTGTTGTCACAACTGTAGAAAGGGTGTTATTTTCATCTAGTGAATAGAAGCCATGGATGGTTTCAAACAAAACAGTCTCCCACAACAAAGAATTATCTGATCCAAATGTTGAGATGCACAACTAAAAACTTATGCTATGATGCAATGTTACTTCTATAAAAAAATTAAAAGTGGGGCCTCCCTGGTGGTGCAGGAAGTTGAGTGCAGTGCTGTGAAGCTGTCTGCAGCCTCTGCAGTGCGGGTTCGATCCCGGCTAGCAGGGGAGATACCCACATGGCACAGCAGACCTCTCCTGTCTCGCCCGCTGCTCCCCTCAGCAGTGTATTTCAGTCAGTCTGCCTGTTCTGTTCCCCAATCAGTCTCTGGTGAATCCTTTCAACCCCCCCCCCTCACCTCTGGCCTGTACCCTGGTTCTTCTATAAACAAATAAATTTTTTTAAAAAATTAAAAGAAAACAAAACAGCAAAGGGAAGGAAGGGAGGAGGGAGGGAGGGAGGGGTGAAGGAAGGAGGACAGGCGGGAAAGATAGGGAAATGCTGTCACAGAGTAAAGAGAATCACAGTCTTCATGTAACAATATAGTTGGAAAGGACACAGCAGTTACCTTGAATTACAAATATATCAGGGTAATTTTACCTGGGAGACTCTCAGAACTTACAATGCAAGTTGCCATTGAGGGTCCATATAGAAGGTCAGGGACTCAATCCTGTCACTTTTAGCAAAATGCAAGCGCTTAGGTAAGAAATGTTTCAGGTATGGTCTGAAGTGTTGCTTTGGTTCCCGACACTGAAATTGTAGAAGGCAAAGAAAAGACATTATTTCCATATTTTCTGAAGTGTAAACTTTCCTTGAAATTACTTTCTAATCCCAATGAATTTTTTCTCACATTTTACCAGCATGCCCAATAAATCACACTTGCAAAAGTGAGTTCTGATTAACCATATAATGTATAAGGTGAATATTCCCAGCTAGGAAATATTCCTATTATTACAGGGAAGCACAATTACTGCATAAAAGTCACAGGAAACTTACACTGTATTATTAGATAATATTTGAGTTATTACCAATGATCTCGGTTTCAAACTTGTAACTACAATTAAAAGAATTTTTTTCAAAATTGGCCGAATTTTTCATCAAGTGAATAAAAATGCTGTAGAGATAAGTCAGTACTAGGGCAAAAACTTATTTTGAAAACAAGCGTTAAAAAAAATCTGGCAGTCGGGCCTCCCCAGTTGCAGCGCTGGTTCGATTCCTGGCTGCCGGTGAGGGTCCCATATGGCGCACAGACCTCTCCTGTCGTGCCCGCTGCTCCCCTCAGGGGTGTACTTCATCAGTCTGCCTGTTCTGCTCCCTGCTCTGGTGAATTCTCTCACCCTCCCACGCTTCTGACTGTACCCAGTGCTTGTATAAATAAATAAATAAATAAATCTTTAAGAAAAAAAATCTGGCAGGAAATACATCATAATGCTCACAATGCTTATGGTGCTACAGCTGCAGATTTTTTTCTTCTGCTGTTTCAAATACAAATAATGCACCATCATATAACTTTACAATGTCAATGAATAAATTCTTAAAAACTTCCAAACCTAGATGAATGTAGGGACATGGCCCTACAGAGCATATAAATATTGTATAACAAACTCATGCCATTTGCAGCAGCATAATGGAGCTGGAAGGGATTATGCTAAGTGAAATGTCATAAGGAAAAAACATTGCAGAATTAAATCAAACAAAGAATCAGATAAAGCCAAACTTAAAAGCTAACCCTTGAAAGCTGATTATAGAGCTGGAGAACCCAGAGATGGAGGGCCAGACAAAGCAGGCAGGGAGCATAATGGACTATGGTGGTGACATACAGGTGCTTTGGAGGTGGATGCACTGAGGTAATGACACCTGAAGGGGGGATCATATACTCCCAAAATACAAAAAATGATGTAAACCTATATTACCTCAATACAAATTAATTTAAAAAATAAAAACAAATGTTGTCCTAGATACTCAAAAATTCTAACCCCACAAATCTAAGAACAAATAATGGAACCTTTTTTCTAAATATATAACACATAAAACTAAACATAATTAATGTAAAAATTAAGGCACTCACAGAAAGATTCCTGGCAATGCCTTCATAATTAACTGAAGGGAGAGAAAGGTAAAAATTAATAGTTGATGGTATGCTACATCTAGAAATAAAAATAAATCAAAAATATAGAATGTCAGTCTTAAACCCTGCATTTAAATACCAACCAGGTTTCAAATAGCTTATTTTAGTCATTATATATTAGTCATTGACAGAAGTAAGAAGATATTTAGAGACATGATATTATGTTATACTATTTTAAATTATGACTGTGTTATAATATCACAAAGTATACAAATTATACAAAATGATATGTTCTAGTATTAAATGAAAAGGCAAGTTACAGAACATTCTTCTATCTATCAAGTTGCCTATCCACACATCTATCCACTCACCCACTGACCACGTATTCAGCTGCCTATCCCTTAGTATATACATTAGTTTATTTATCCACCTACTTTCCATGCATCCAATACCTATCTATGTATCCATCCATCTAATCTATTATGACTTCACAACATAAAGATTAAAATGTTTTTTTTTATATGTATAGCAAAAATAAACTTAAAGTTTATCTCTAGAGAAAGGAAGTGAGCAGTGAATTAGGGGATGTAGGGAAAGAAACTGTTATTTTTTACTTTATATACTACGATATTCAGTGATAATTCCAGAATTTACAATTAAGAGGAATACAGGGAAATGTAAAAGAGAAGACAAGAAGAGTAGTTTTGAAACTGAATTTGCATTGCAAGTCCACAGTGTACTTAGCATATTTTGTGTTACTGCCTAAGATTATTTTAACAATCCTTTACAATAATTTGAGAAAATTATCCATATAAAAATAAGATTACTGCATATTTGTATGTGTAAATAAATATATAGTTTTTGCTTTAATTTGAGAAATTTAGAGGTCTAATTAAGGCAAGACAGTGTTAAAGCTTAGCCATCCCAGCCTAAACATCTTTGGGGACTGCTACTACCCCTACAGCTTTTATAAAATGTTATAACAACATACTACATTCATAATTTTTTTATAAATTGCTAATTAAAACTTGTGATGCATATAATCTGTTTTTTGTAATATGAAGCTATAATTTGTGAAACCATATTCCTAAAGTGAAATCTATTTCTCCTCGTGAATATTCAATAGTATATTGAAATAAATAGCACTGAGTGCCCAAACCTAACCCAGTTCTGATAACTGTCAGAAAAGCTTTTTTCTCCTTCCATTTGAAGTTAATTATAACAAAAAGATAAACAAAATTTGTGTTAGGTATGTGAAAATTACTAAAGATCCTGATCTAAGAGAAGCTTATGTAGCAGAGGTACACAGTTATAAACAGGCTTGACTTACAAAAAAAGAAATATTTTTTAAAACTTTTCGGCATTTTGGGTTGCCATGCAGCCAAGAGAGAATATGAAATTTCTTCTTTGTTCACAGATACATTCTTATTATTTTCAAGTCATTTTTACAGACAAAACAGTTGCTTATAAAATTAATCCTCTCTGCCAGCATTCCTCCTCATAGAGTATTATTCTAGAACAGATGTGAGTGGTTTTAATGTAATGTCATTAATTAAAGGTGAGTAAATGTAGCTGAACTTTTCTCTTAAGGTTGTTTATTTTCCAGACAAGTAATCTTGAATCTAATACAAGCAAAATACACATACAATGAATGAAATTGCTAAGCTTATACTTAACCATGAATAACTAGTAGCTACGTGGTTAGACTTAAGTCCTCATATCCAGTTTCATAGAATTCCTTTGGGTGTAGAAGAATTGCATGGGAGATTTAATGACAAAAAAGAAATTAACTTTAATTGATCTGGCTTTAGCGTAGAGATATGATAACTGTGAGGAACATATTCTGAACATAATCATATTCAAAGTTTGCACAGAGGTATACTTACATGAAAAGTATTTATCTGGGATATCAGAGGGTCTTAATCGAGCTGCGGGTCCATATACAACTTTAATATTTTTAACATCTCCCAAATATTTATTCAGATAGACATATTTCTTACAACTGCCTTGTTCCATGCCTAGGAGAAAAAATTTTAAACATGTTGCAACTTTGATGTAAAAGTTAATCTGTCTGAACAGAACTCCTTTCACCTCCCAGAATTTAATTCAGACTCATGTTAGTCAAACATTGAATGAAAAAGACACAGAACCTGTTTTCTATTTTCTGGTATACATACTACTTCTATAATCCCAAGGCTACAAAAGCCTTGGGATATACTATGGTTTTACAGAAACCATAGTAAACAAAAGGGAAATAAAAATATAGCCAAAATTAAAATATACTGCTTTTTCAGTCATCTTTATCATGCTAAAGAAAACTGAAGAGGCAGAAAATACTTAAATTAAATCTAAAGTGCTAGATTTACCAAAATTTTAATATTGAAAAAAACTTTTTAGGTACCCAAATTTCTGATGGAAGCCTTCCCAAATCAAGAGATAGGTGCATCGGCCTCCCCGGTGGCACAGCGGTTGAGCGATGGGTTGCGAAACTGCCTGCAGCCTCTGAAGCGCAGGTTCGATCCCCGGTTGCTCCCCGGCCACAGGAGGAGGGTCCCACATGGCACGCAGACCCCTTCTGCCGCCCATTGCTCCCCTCAGCAGTGTACTTCGGTCTTGCCTGCTCTGCTCCCCTCTCTGGCTCTGGTGAATTCTCTCACCCTCCCACGCTTCTGACTGTACCCAGTGCTTGTATAATAAATAAATAAATCTTTAAAAAAAAAAAGAGAGATAGGTGCATTGGGGTTTCTAGACTTCTTAGGTTTCTGTGAATTCTACTTTTTTATTTGTACTTATATTTAATTTAATTTTTCCCAAAGACTCCCCACAAGAAACTATATTTAGTGAAAAAAGAATAAACAGTAATAGAAACAATAATGAAACAATAATCAATCAAGTAAACCTGAAGGGTAAATAAAGCAAATTCAGATTACCATGATCTGAAATAAGGATGAGGTTCAGGCATCTATGCAAATTCAGCTCTTTTAGACCATCCATCAGCATGCCCACCATGTTGTCAACCCTCTGCAATGCTCTGATGACCTAGAGAAGGGATACAATCTCATGCAACGCATTCCATACTGAAGTCTACTTCTGCTTAATGTCATTTCTGTCAAAAAAGAAAAACCTCAGTGGATGCAAATACTACAGTGAACTGATTCACATCAAGCTAAGACATGCCAGATAAGAGAGAAAGGGCATAAATAATTGCTGACCATTAACAAGGGAAGGTCTAAATCTCAAGGGGAAGTCATGGGAATGACATTAACTAATCTGATTAGCATTTTCCCTCCTGGAGGTTTAGAATGTTATCCTCAGACCAGACCCAGCATAAGTCAAGCTAGCTGAAATCCACAACGTGGGGTCAGACACTGATGCATTCTCAACTATCACCTCATTTTCTATAATCAATTTGTTTTTGTGCTTTCTGAGCACTTAAATGTTTGCTTCATAAATGTTATCATGCTTCCTAATTTACAAAAATGTTAAAATTATTCATGAAATGCTTTGTGTAGTGCTATGTACTTAATTTTTAAAAGTAGAACTTCTAGGAATACAACCCATTATTCCTCACAAATGCGTGTATTTTGCATATCATAAGGTGACAGAATGACAAATGGTTCAGGCAAATTGCTTTTGCACTTATCTTCCCCTTTTCCTCATAAAACCACCTGAGGAATATGCAGTTTTACATGTGTTTTCTATAATATATCAAATCACTCTAATATTTATATTTGGTATATTTCACTATAATATGAAGCAAGTTCTTTTAACCTGGTCTTTCATTCACTCAAGGATATCCAAACTATAAGAACTATAATTTTTTGAGTATTAAGAGAAAGGGGGACTTGATGAGCCAGTAATGTTAGTATTTTACAGGTCTTAAAAATTAGTGAATATGATTTGAAAAGCAATGCACTCAACCTTGAATGAAGATAAATAAAAAAGCAGGAATGTGGGGGAAATCTGGTCAATTAGAAAAGGCAGTACTGATTTTCAAACATGTATGATCTGATAATCAAACAATAACAAAGTGATATTTAGATATCTTTGTGACCAATCTGACCTAGACATGGGTCTTAAGTACCAGTGACTTCAGTAAAAGAATAAAAATTATTCTAGCTCTACCAAGCAAACAGCTATGAGACTTTTTCTTTGGACCAATTATGACACAGTTACACTGCTGGTCACATTGTTTATCCCACCTCTATGGGAGACCTTTGCTTAGCTGAATGACAGAATCAAAGCAAGAGCTCATGGGGCTGCTAAATACAGTGGAGCCGCTTGAGATGGTTTTTGATGGAGAGAATACAAAAGTAAGTATAGTTCTAGCTGAGGGCCAACTTCCTTTCTCTTCCTCCTATTTTATCTGATGAGATGGCACCCAGAAGGACATAGTCAGAGGGAGGGAAGCCAGGAGAAAATGACTGGGCAGCTGTTTTACATTCAAGTGAGAACCATGAGCATGCTTGCTCCCTCTTCCTTCTGCTGTGCAGGAATGAGCACTTGGAGCAATCAGGCCCCTCAAAAACAGGGTTCTCAGGAGACAGGGACCTGGAGCCTCTGAGGCTCACAAACTAATCTGCTAGACTTTCATCTATTGGAGTCATCTGGGACAAAAAAATAACAAGACAGGATTCTCAGACTAGGGACTCTGGCAGTACAGCTTTTCCATTTTATTATGGCCAAAAAATCATAGACCCTTACTCACTGTTTCTTTTCATGTCTTAGGTCAAAGGTAAAATATAAATCTATAGGAAATTAGAAGTACAAGAGGTACCTTGTACAAGTACTTATAGAGGTACAAGGAAAGAAGCTCAAATCACTTTCCCATTCTAATGTTTCTTGTGTTCCAGGATACAAAAATGATATTGCCACACAAAAAACTGATGTAGTATTTGATGTTTTAAAGCACTATGCCAATTGCAAACATAGCCAGGAGCTATGAATGCATGTCCTGAAAGGGTGTCAGGTCAAACAAGAGATTACATTAAGAGTCACACCATGAACTGCTACCCTGTTTCCAGTTTCCTAGCAACCACTCAATAAAACAATGATTATCTAATCTTCTCTATATTTTTCATAAACTTTTATATCCTTTAACTCTCAAGCTCTATTTTAAGATGATCTGAGATCTCTCTGCAAAAGAGTTCATAGAAATTATCTTCTGCTGTTTTTTGACAGATTATTATCTTCATAGAAAACTGGAGTTTTACAGTTACACACTTTTTGAAGTGCACTAGTTTTTAAGGCCAATGTATTATGGAGTGGTAAAAATCTTTGGAATTGAAAATACAGATTTACTTCATCATCATTTCAGTGTAAGCACTACAAAAAGTATAAACAATTCTCCAGCCTTATTTCAATGAAAATGCATTCTTTGCTGTAATAAAAATTGTGCTAAATGCACATGTTCCTTACAGAAATCATGTGATCTTATAACATCCCCTAGAAATCTGTTTCAAAGCAAGTTTGGGTTAGATGTTACCAGGTTTAATGAAGTAATCACTGATAAAATTGTACTTACTTCACTGCTGACTGGTCCATACATATGACCTGAAGAATCTGGTTCTTCTAAATACAGAGTGTAAAAGTGTGGTCTAAATCAAACAGTATCAAAATGTAATATTTTATGAACACATGTAAAACAGAATGGAAAGAATAATTCAACAATTGATAGTGATTACAAATTCTACAACACTTAGGGTAACATTTCTAAACTTGCTGAGAAATTTATAGCTTTGGAATTCTTCAAAATGGGACTGTAATAGTTCACAGGGAGTTCATTTGGATATAAAACATCATGGCCATTGCAAAGCTTTCTTGTAGGCAATTTAGAAATATTGTGTATTAATTTCTATGAAATAAAGGTATATTTACAATAGAAATTAGTTGTTCACATACCTTTCATCATTAGGAAGCTGCAGCCACTTAAGAACAGTCAGAATTCTTTCTTCAAATGGTACTGAACTAGAAAAAATAAATAAATAAAATGAAAGAAGCCTGTGGCAATTGTTTGGCTCTAAATGTAAATGTTTTTTTCTTATTGAAAGTTGCATCAGAGAGATTAAATCAATACAGTGTGTCTATTGTGTCTGAAGCAATATATGAGTCTTAGCTGAAAACAAATTGGTCTTCCTAACAGAGAAACAAAAGTTAAGTTTTACTCATTAAAAAAATATCATCAGGTTTCAAATTTTATTTCCTGTACTCTCCTTAAGGATATTATTCCTGCTCCCTAAAGGGAACAGTTGCATCACATGAATAACCCATTTGTCAATATATATTTTTTTAAGATTTATTTATTTATACAAGCACTGGGGTACAGGCCAGAGGTGCCGGAGGGTGAGAGAATTCACCAGAGACAGAGTGGGGAGCAGAACAGTCAGACGGACCAAAAGTACTGCTGAGGGGAACAGCAGATGAGACAGGAGAGGTCTGCTATGCCACGTGGGAATCTCCCCAGCCAGCCGGGAATCAAACCAGCGCTGCAAAGGCTGCAAACAGCTTCACAGCACTGCGTTCAACCCACTGCGCCACCGGGGAGGCCCCATTTGTCGATATATTTTATGAAGGTGATAGATCATGAAGAACTCATTCACTGAAGACTCAGTAAAACTGGGGAGTGGGAATCTGACAAGCAGACACTTCCCCAGACAGCATTTCCCAGTAGAATCAGTTATGCTTTCTTCTGGGCACAAGGTTTGGTTTATACAACTCCATCAGAGAGCTTACCCCATGCCAAATACATTCAGCTGCTTTTATTTGACTTTGGGAAGCTGAAGAACATATAACACTATATTGAACCCCAATGCCTAGCACAGGGCATGGCACATAAAACCTCAATTACTATCCATGAAATGAAGATTGTAAGGTGGAGAACAGACACTGCACTATGCTCATGTGAACCACAAAGAAGCAGCAACAGTAAAATTGTCATAGAAAATAGTTATCCAGGGCCTCCCTGCTGGCCTACGGGTTAAGTCTCAGTGCTATCACCACTATGGCCTGAGTTGGATCCCCTGCCAGGGAGCTAACCCACATATGGTGCAGCAAACCTCTCCTGTCTTGCCACTGCTTCCCTCAGCAGTGTATTTATTTCAGCAGATCCGCCTGTTCTGTTCCCCACTCTGTCTCTGCTGAATCCTCTCACTCCCTGCACCTCTGGCCTACACACCAGATCTTCTACACCCCCCAAAAAAAGAGGAAATGGTTATGCATGTCTCTTCTGGAATTTGGAATTTTTTATCTTTTCTGTTCTTCTCCCAAGTACATCATTGCATTGATTTTGTGAGAGAAATTTCCTACGTGGAAAACAGTCTCACCAAAATTGGTCATCTCACTAAAATTATCCAAACATAGTCTTCTGGAAAAAAGATTTGTTCATTTTTCTTTTTCTCAACAATCATGGCTCTTGAATACCAGAAGAAGGTTATTCCCATCAGTTACTCACATAGACAGTATGTCTATTAATTTCGAAATGCAAATCCAGAGATGCCATTAGTATCTTCTTTAAATAATATTTCCAGGTACCTGTGTCCTCCTTACAGCTTCCTTCTTTCTCATTCCTTTTCCTCCCAGAGGTAAATGAGGGTTCTCTCTGACATCTCTACTTTCACCATGACTTTATATTTTTTTTCTTCCTGCCCAAAGATCTGCATCCAAGTGCAAACGTTACCAGTGCTTTCTAGAAAACTTCTAGGAAAAAGTGTATCTACTTTTACTGTCTATTCATCATCCACATAAAACTCTTTGAGAAAGAATCTTTAGTCTGAAAGTTCTCATTTTTCAGCTGACATATCAGTCAAAGGCTAGAGCTTAGTGCTTAATAAAAAGGAGAGGCTGAGATAAAATCAATGAGCTCTTCCACAATTATAGCTCCCAGAAAATATACATCTATACATACCCATTATACATTTTATAGATGTCTGGGAGAACTCCATTAATTTTCACATCTGATCCTGGCCAAAAAAATGTTCCACTCTTCAGACCTTGGTAGTGAGCTGTTAGCCAAATCTGGGGAAGATAAAGAAGGAAAGTCAAACATTCATTTCTAGGGAAAGTAAGGATTCACACAACACCAATGTATTTCTCTCAAGAGCAAGAATTTGTTTAAGGTTGAAGAGCTTTGGTAGTTAGACTACAAAACAATTGTGTAATGTGACTCTAAACAACAGCAACAAGAAATTAAATAACCAGTGATTAAATTAAACTTTAAAAATATGGATATAAGACAATTGGTAATTTATACAACTTTAGAGCCATACCCCTAGCTTAGGGGATTCCTCTTGAAAGAAGAAAATTCACAAATATACATCTTTACTGACATTTTTGCTTCCATAGTAAACTCTTATTGAAAACCTGGTATTCTGTTATTATCAATTATACTTTAAATAGTATTCCTATAAGCATCCTAGATTAATAATAATAATCCTCACAATAATTCCATGGGGTAGCTAACAGTATTAACTACAGTACAGAAAGGAAAAACTGAGGTTCTGACAGGATAATTTTTCCAAAGTCACAAAGCTTCAAATAATAGAGTTAAAATTTGAATTTAAATATGCAAATTAAACACCACGTTATTTTTCCTTCTAAGAAGACTCTCAGGGTTATCCAAATAAACCCAATGGAATTACTGTGACAATTTTTAAAAATTTAAAGGCAACCACATCAAGACAATAAGAATACGATCTAATAAAAAAAAATCCAATGAAGACAAAGTTTACTTTCCTCAGAATCAATCAGCTTTTTCAAATCAAAATATTACCCCCAAACTATTGCTACTAGCTCAAGGTAGAATGGAGCAATAAAGAAAAATTCAAATTCAGTTCTGAAACAGACTTATACAATGACACAAGCTTTATTTAGGATTATCAGCATTCATCTCCATTTATAAAAAGATGGTACAGACATTGTAAATGAAGTAGGTTATTAAAAACACCAAAGAACCTAGTGTTTTACTCTGATTGAAATAGATGAGACTAAAAGAAGAAACTATTTTAGTAGCTAAAACAACTCACTGGTTCTCCTTTGTACCACTCAGGATTAAATTTTTCTTTACTTTTAAGTGCAAAGGAAGCATTCATTTTGGGATCATACATTTTGTTGTCAATTATGCCATGGGATTCTGGATAAAGCCCCTAAAAAATATAAAACACAGGTTTTATACAAGATTTTTAACGTTAAATCATTAAACAAAATCATTAAAGAGAAACTAATAACTGGAAGCTACAAGGAAATTAATAAAGTTTAAGAAAAAAAAAACAAAAAAAATTGTCAAAATACAATAACCACTCTAACTTTTATATAGTATTTGTGTTCTACATTATGTAATAGGAGAAAAAAAGTAACAAATGCTCTAGATGAAGGTCTATATAAATACACAGCCTCCCAAATTCTGAAGACAGCAGTCTGCAGTCCTCTTGCATTGCTGAGTAAAGCAGTTCTGCAGAACAAGTTCCTTTTGGAATTGATCAGTACAAGCTAAAGTATAAATTCTGGCTTCCACCCTAAGGTCTAGTGAATTCTACTTTTTTTCTAAATTCAAATTAAATCTGAAAAATTTGAAAGAAAAACTGTAATCCTATTTAGAATCAGGCAATGTGGCTTGTTCAAATATATACAGCAAGATAATTAAAAAGACAGTTGAGACCATGTGAGTGTATGACCATTTTTGAACTCAAATGAAGTAAGCTATAAAATTAGTAAGAAAAAAGTATATATACACACACCAAACTCTAAAAAAAAAAAAAAAAAAAATAGGGCCACCCCGGTGGCACAGCGGTTGAGCGCTGGGTTGTGAAGCTGCCCGCAGCCTCTGCAGCCCGGGTTCGATCCCCGGCCGCCGGGCGAGGGTCCCACATGGTGCGCAGCCCTCTCCTGCCACCCGCTGCTCCCCTCAGCAGTGTACTTCATCAGTCTGCCTGCTCTGCTCTCCCCTCTAGCTCTGGTGAATTCTCTCACCCTCCCACGCTTCTGACTGTACCCAGTGCTTATATGAATAAATAAATAAAAAAAAAATACAAAAAAACAAGGACATAAGAATCAGAGACTCTAAAAAATTAACAACAACAAAAAAACGAGAAATCATTTTTTTGAGGGGAACTTTAGTCACTTGTTCACAGAGGGAAATCAAGCCCAGTGATAAAGGGACTTTCCCAAAGGCATAGTTGCTTGGGGGCACTGCAAAAACCAGAACCTAGATTTCCTGGCTTACCTACACAATAGAAAAAAGTTATTTTTTCCTAATCTGATATCTAATTTTGCCCTTGAAAAATATAACATTCACATCTCATTTCCAAGAAAACATAAAATTGAAATGCAAAACTTACTGTAACAATGCTGTAGTGATTGGGGAAAGTTTTTGTTGGGTAAACCGGTCTCATGTTTTTAGCATATGTTCCACAGCTTTCTACAAGAACAAAAGAAAAAGACTGCTAGTAAACACAAGTGACGATCTGTCTGTGTCTGCTAATTCATTTAGCATTTGTACCATCTAAATCTAAATCACATTTAAAAAAAAAAATAACTCAGGGCCTCCCCGGTGGCACAGCGGTTGAGCGCTGGGTTGCGACGCTGCCCGCGGCCTCTGCAGCGCCGGTTCGATCCCCGGCTGCTCCCCGGCCACCAGAGGAGGGTCCCACATGGCGCGCAGACCTCTCCTGCCGCCCGCTGCTCCCCTCAGCAGTATACTTCGGTCCTTCTGCCTGCTCTGCTCCCCGCTCTGGCTCTGGTGAATTCTCTCACCCTCCCACGCTTCTGACTGTACCCAGTGCATGTATAAACAAAACAAACAAATAAACTAATAAAACATGCCTCTAAAAAAAAAAAAAATAAAAAAAAAAACTCAGAAGGGATTTATAAACACACAAAAATGTGAATTATAAAACATATGGATTCAAATTTTATATTAACAACTTTTCTCTTAGTCAGAAAAACATTAAACAAAAATTAAGCTGAAATAATGATCACATATTCATCAATAATATTAAGTTCCAGGTGGACTGGTTATAATAAAATCACTAACTAAAATCTCTGTCTGATACTACTTGATGATTACATACCTAAATTGCAAGAGCTAGTCTAAAAAAATACTGCACCAGTAGTTAAATCTGCAAAATTAAAACAAGGGTAAAGCAATATCCCCAAATCCAGAACCAGGTAATTCTAGAAAAATTCACTGCTACCCTATAGACAAAGGTAACTTCTGAATTCAAGTTAGAGAAAGCACAGAAGTCAGCAGGTTCCTGATTTAGCTTTCGTGACACACTCCCTCCTCCACCTTTACTGATAAGGAAGGAACACACAAGTAGTGATTCTAGCATTTCAATACCTCATCCCCAGTTGGGCATGTGTATCGATCTATTGATAGCTCATTACCTTTAAATAGTTTAAAACTACAGACTGCATATCCCCCAATGTTCCAAAGCTAATGGCACATTGATTTCTTTTCAGCTTCACATGTTGGTTGCCTTAGTATACATACAACACCATATTTTTGAACTCAGGACACCATGTTTGCTATCATCAAGACAAACTTTCCTCCTCAAGGTAACAAGAGACCAGATTCAAACTCCAAAGATCATCAGCCTGGCTGATAAGAACAGTCTTCCCAGCCTGTGCACTTCTACAAGCTATTTTCTTCCAAGTAGAAGTTAAAAACTGAAAAGCTTGAAAGTTCTCCAAAAATTATTTTGGCTTATCACAAAAGAAATATAAAAATATTTACCAAGAGTGAATTTAATGTTTAAGCCAATCTCATGTATTCAAATTCTATAAATAATATTTTATAATTCTAGGAGAACACAAAAATAGTTGTATTTATTCACTTCTATCTCAGTCCACTATAACACTGTAGGTACTTAAATAATAATCACTAATAACAAGCAAAGTTCTACAACTTTTATGTATAATTATGTTTCATTAACAATGATGATACAAGTGATATCCATATTACTGTTGGTTAATGTGGCTGAAAACTTTGACATTAATATGAAGAAAATACAATTCTGCTATTATATTAATAACTTATCGAATAATCATTGAATTGAGGCCTTGACTGAGTCAAAAAAATTGGAAAGATGCTACAGAACACTATAGCATTATAGGATAATAAGGCAAATATTCTTTACACAACTAGTACATTCAAAAATTGCAGGTTTTTTAAATTGTATTTTAAAATACAATACTTTAAAAAAAATGATTTTCCACAAAAGGAATGCAAAATTCCAACTAAAAAAATATATATTTGTATATCAGTCAAGGGATTAAAAACCTAAGAAAACTAGAAGCTCAATATAACAATTATCTTAGAAATGTTCAAAGTAGATTGGCTCGCTATCAGGTTAAATTACTTTATGATAAAGAAGTTTAGTAAAAGAAATTCTACCAGTATTTTTCCAAGAGGAGATAGCCTCCCAGCCTATCTCTTGAAATCATGACACTCCAATATAAACTCTGAGTTTACTCACTTAGTTTGCTAATAACAGGAAGTAGTCCACCCCAAGTGTGTAAATATTCTGCCCTGAAACCATCCAAAGAAAATAAGAGGGTAGGAGGCTTTTCATACCTGGGTAAGAAAGAAGAAAAAAAAAAAATTTGAAGAAGCAGAAAGAAGATATGCATCCAATGTATTTTATCCTTCCTTGCAACAGTGAAGACTTTCCACTACCAATGTGATCTAACAAGCTCAGCAGGCATTCTCATAAAGGATGCTTTACAAATATTCATATACATGCTTTTACATCTTTATATAGAGTCCTCATATACCATTTATGAGTACACATATGATTTGGAGCCACCATATAGAGAACATTATCCATGGTTCCGGTTTTTCCAAAAGCTAGACCAAATCCTATGAATGTAATAATAACATTTTCCTAATTTGCAGAATGAAGTAGCATATCATTTCTAAATTATGCTCTTGTTTTTATTCATGTTTTTCCTGAACAACCTTTTCTGATATGGTATCTCCTTGGATCTTGTAGATGATACTTTAATTTACATAAATTATATCCTGTTCAGTTTTCACTTTAATATATATGAGATGTTGGGGCCTCCCTCGTGGTACAAGGGGTTAAAATGCAACCTATGAAGCTATCCACAGCCACTGTAACACAAGTTCGATCCCCAACCAGGAAGCTACCCACATGGCGCAGCCGACCTCTCTGACTCCCCCACTGCTCCCCTCAGCAGTGTATTTCACTCAGTCTGCCTGTTCTGCTCCCCACTCTGTCCTGGCGAATCCTCTTACCCCCACACCTCTGGCCTGTACCCCAGCTATTGTAAGCATAAATAAATAAACCTTAAAACAATATATATGAGATGTTAATATTTAATAGAAAAATTTCAGAGGTATTTGCTACATTTAAGTATATAAACCACAAAGAAAGAGTTCAAAGCTATGGATGAACAAATAATGAGAGTATACACACACACACACAGAGAGAGAGACAGAGAGAGAGAAAGAGAGCGAGAGAGAGCAAGAGAGAGAGAGAGAGAGAGAGTGTTAATGTGTATGGTGAAGCAATCCAAAGAAGCAGAAAGAAAATGAACAAAGAAAAAACAAAAACACCTAGCCTCTGACAACAAAAGGGAACTAAAGGGAAAGAGGACAAGGATGGGGGAACACACAGAGGAGGTCATCTGGCTAGTGGTGAGTAGTAGTAGGACTTTGGTGGTGAGTATGGTATGGTACTTATACTTATAGAGGTGCAATACTGTACTCCTGAAACTTACATAACATTGTAAGCCAGCACTACATCAATTAAAAAAAAAAAGAAAGAGCAAATGCTTTGTTCCTAATTCTAGAATCAAAAAAAGGGGGGAAAAAATCACTACATTATAATAATATACTCAGCAAAACAGTAACTGAAGATGACTTTTACACAGTTACAATAAAACAGTTGTGATTCAGAAGTTTTGCAGCTTCTGATAATAGCTGGTAATGACAAGAGAATGGTGTATCACTGAGTAATGATGCAAAAACTTTCTGGTGGGGGACTATAGAATCAGCACAGCATCTCAGTGGTCCACATCTGTCAAAAATTATTGATATTCAAGTAACAGAAAAGATAAGAATCAGTTGGCTGGGCCACCAGGTAAATATACTGGTATAGTAACTTCCAGTGTAATACAATGTGTTCTAAATTATGATCTTGTAAAGAAAGGAGAAGTTACAATGCTGAACAACTAAACCCCATATATAAGGTTTTAAACCAATGTTACTTCAATAAAAAAATTAAACTAAAAAAGGAGTTATATTTTCCACTATATACCTTGAACTTAAGAGACAGTTTTTAAAAGTATGTGAGACAGTCCCTTTGAAATCAGTCTCTCATTGAAAATTCTTGGTTTGGGGTTAATTTTTGCAGCTGCTTTTTCTATTGCTTTATATAAAAAAGTACTCTCCCATCCAAGGGAAAAAAGTACATATAAAGCAAAAATAAGCTATAAATATAAAATAAGATAAAATACAACTTTAAAATTTTTAATTGTTAATAGTTTGGAAAAAATCATTATTATAGTCAGTATTCCATATAAACATGTTCTACATTTGCAGATTCAACCAAATGCGGCTGGAAATATGTACTGTGTAGTTATGTGTACACTGGTTGTATCTACACTGAACACATAAGATTTTTTCATCTGACTATTACCTAAGCAACACAGTAATAACAACTATTTACATAGCATTTACATTGTGTTAGGTATTACAATAATCAAGAGTGATTTAAAATAGAGGGAAGATGTGTATAGAATACTATATCATTTAATTTAAGAACTTGAGCATCTGTGGATTTTGGTATCTGCAGTAGTCCTAGAATCAATCCCCTCTAATACCAAGGGACAATCATGACTGTAATTTTAAAAGATAAACATGTATTTCTGAAGATGAATAATTCAAATTACATGAGATCATAAATAGCACAATGATAAATACATCTAGTACTTTCATTAAATTTCTACCCTTTGAATTCCACATAAACTTCTCTTGATAGTCTATTATACAAAAGAGACTCTGCAAAAAAAAAAAACTTTAGGATAAAAGGAACAAAGAAATTATTAGAAATGTAAAAGTGATGTAATATTCTTACAGGCCAGGCATGTTGCTTATCCCAAAAATTTATAAATAAACCAAAATACCTCCCCCAAAAGAAACTTTGTTACAAGTTCAACTCTCAAAACTTAGGTCCTTCCTAAGAAGGAAGAAATGCACACTTCTACCCAACACTGCAGAATACTAGAGACTAACTATTCATGACCTCTGTTTTTTCCACTAGTTTCCAGGGGGGAGGTAGGGGGTCATGCCAACCATCTCTATACTACCAGGCCAAATGGGAGGTCTCACTAAAAATAATGTTTAATGATCCAACAAATAATTGTCATTTTTACTTCTTCATTTTGAAAACAGAAAAAAAATATGATATTTCTAAGAGAAAAATTAGCATGTCAGAATTTAGTCTTACCCTGCAGGACACTGTGGCTCATCAATATTCTCACATGTTTCTTCTACCCAGCTTTCCTCCCCTGAAATATTTTCAAGAAATAAAACAAGTTGAACACACTTAATAGTGTGAGACACATTAGAACGGATTTCCAAATCAAAATATGTTAACAAATACACAGTAATAACATGGGGCATGATTACAGGGAAATAGAACAAAGGCAGTTATTCTCTTTCAAAATAAGATTGTGTGGGTATCAGGAAGAAAAAAAGGATGGATAATTACAACACTAAAACACAGTACTGTTTTTATGAGAACTTGCAAAGCATCTTTTCCATTTTCAAACTTACTATTTTCAGCCAAAATTTACAGTGCCCCTTCTACCTACCCAATATAATCTCTGGTAAAAAATCCTTAATGTCTAGGATTTACAACCAGTTTCCAGCAAAGAATTTCAAGATGTCCTGTAATCCCCAGGAACATCAGATTACATAATACCCTATAATCTTTTGCAGTAATTTCACACCCATTCTCTCAACACAGGACAGATACCGTCCTCGTTTACTGTAAGCGAATCTATTATATAGAAATCAGCTAGGACTGCAAAAGCGATCTTTCCACAAATACAGCATTAAATATGTAGCTACTATCAAAATAACATGAGATTATAGTGAGAGAGTAAATGACTAAAATAAACAAGGTTGGCCATGTTCAGATAAAATTAATTATTAAGCTGAGTGGCAAGTACAAGGTCCACGACATACTCCATTCTAGCACAGGTTTGGCATTTTCTTTAAAAAATGTTTGAGAGATTTTTTTTTCAGCTAATGTAGTTGACCAATAAATATGACTCCTAATGTAAAAAAAAAAAAAACACCTATGCAAAACCAGGCTAAGCACAGAGAGATGTCGGGAGGTATGTGGGAGCATGCGCGTGACAGACCTAGACACACAGAGCTGTAGTTAATGCAGCAGTCGCCCTTGTCCTTGCAGTCATCTGAACAGGAGCAAAGGCTTCTGGACAATCTTTTCTCACCACACCTGAATTTGCTGCAAGTCCATATATGTTCTAGAAACAAATATCAACAAAATACATTTTAAGTATAGTCCATATTGAACACATCCAAAGCAAACACAGAATGGTCTTCTGGAGCAAGATCATAAGAGACAATGAACTATTTCATAATTCTTAGTCACTCACAGGCACTACCACCATCTTTCTCAGTCTGAAGTAACAAACAGAAAACATGCAGACATCACTGGTTACTATTTCACTAAAATCCTAGAACTTGAACATTTTAAAACATGGACAAATATAATTATTATTATCCAATTCATATGTAGATCTGTGTCTCCCATCAGTCATTTTCAGAGCTCTCAGAGTTAATTTAAATTTGACTCACTCCCATTTGAATATTATTTTATGTCATACATAGAGAAACTCAAGTCAAACTGAAAACTGTGATATCTGGATAGTTCAATTTTAAAGTTTAAGCGGCTACCTAAGGACTTTTGCTTAAGTAAGTCCAGCATGAAAATATTCATATATTTCAAGCAACCTTTTCTAATTTACTTTAAATGCCAATTAGATCACATAGGCTTTCGGCATATACTAAAAATAAACAAATTTTGGTATGTGTAAAACTGGCTATTTTCATTAAACATTGCTATCTTTAACTGTTTAATGAAGGCAAAATAAGTGAAAATTTGTATTATAAAGAACTGCTAAAACATAAAGGTGAAAGTCAAAATAGTGTGTACATGTCAAATTTTTTAAAATTTCAAATGAGTTAGGGAAATCACATGCCCAAAGGCAAGTGTTGTCTTTGATCTTTTACTAAAGTTCATGACTCCATCTTTCCCTGCACATTTTTACCTGGTTCTATACACGTCTCCTGGTAATCTAGACAGCAATTTCCAAGGTCAACGCAGGCAACATCACAGCGACAGTTCCCAAATGTTCTCTCAAAACAGCGACCTTTGCAACTTTTAACTGAAAAGTATAAAATGAGTTAGAAGTTTGTTAATTAGTATATAATTACAAAGTGAAACACCAACTAATATGCTAAGTTAGGTAGAGTCAAACAGTACTCTAGAAGACAGATGGAGTACCAAAATTATCCAAGAATCTATTCATAAACATATAGAAAGTGAACAAACAGAAGATAACCTATGTACAGAGTTTATAATTTCATCTCTCGACACAGACAAAAAGACAACTTTCATCTTTTATTTATTACAAATCCTGCTTGGCCTGATAAGACTTAAATACTTACGGGATATTAGAGAAGAGTCAAAATAAGTCTTGTTCAAAAGGTTTTATGCTCTTTATTGACTTAAACAGCCATGGAGTTCTCAAGAATTTCAAAATGTGGGGCCTCCCTGGTGGCACAGGGGTTAAGCACCGAACTATGAAGCAATCCCAAGCCTCTGCAGCACGAGTTCAATCCCCAGCCGTCCAGGGAGCAACCCACATGGCACAGCAGACCTCTCCTGAATCATCCGCTGCTCCCCTCAGCAGTGTACTTCACTCAGTCTGCCTGTTCTGTTCCCCACTCTGTCTCTGGCGAATCCTCTCCCCGCCACCCCACATCTCTGTCCTGTACCCCAGCTCTTGTATGCATAAATAAATAAATCTTTTAAAAAAAAGAAGTTATAATGTTCTTAAAAAAAAAAAAAAGAATTTCAAAATGTGAGAAAAGATATTTAAAGTGATTTTATCAATATGTCAGGAAGACCTGACTTCTTACTCTTAGTCTTGGTGTAAAGAAGTGATGTGTCGGTACAGGAAATGTTTGGGAAGACTGCCTTCCCACCATCACCTAACACACCCCTTTCTCCTTCAGATCCAGCCTGGTTTCCTCCTAGAAACTTTCCACAACTCCCCAGTTTAAGTCCATTTCCCTATTTTCTTAAGCTTTTATGAAAGTGTGTCCTTCCACTCCATCACTTATCTCCTCCATTTTTATCTAGACTGTTTGATTAATCTCCCAATCTCACATCAAATTACAAAGAGCAAAAAACACACTTTGGTTTTGCCCTGTATATTGTATCCCTGCTACCAGAAAGTGTTCTGGTGGTTTTGTTTGTTTCAGGAAAGGTACTTGACATATAGTAATAAATTTTTGTTAAATGGATAAATGGTGGATTGGGAGAAAAATATTTTTCATTAAAAACAACAATTTTATATTGTAACTTTTTATTAGATACCTGGAATAAGGTAGGTTTCTAATGGATTACTAAAAAATCAGAATGGTGGGCCTCCTAGGTGGCGCAGCAGTTGAGCGCTGGGTTACGAAGCTGCCCGCAGCCTCTGCAGCGCCGGTTCGATCCCGGGCTGCTCCCCGGCCACCGGAGGAGGGTCCCACATGGCGCACAGACCTCTCCTGCCGCCCGCTGCTCCCCTCAGCAGTGTACTTCGGTCCTTCTGCCTGCTCTGCTCCCCGCTCTGGCTCTGGTGAATTCTCTTACCCTCCTGCGCTTCTGACTGTACCCAGTGCTTGTATGAATAAATAAATAAATAAATAAATAAATAAATAAATAAATCTTTAAAAAAAAATCAGAATGGTGAGAAAAAAATAATCTGCTGGTAATAAAATGGAATCCAACAGAAAAAAAAGCAGTAATTATAGCTCTTGAATTTAATATAGACTCCTGACCCTATAAGATACTGTCTAGGAATTTAGGTTTTATTCGACACTGGGAATTCAGGTAATTTTAAGACATGAAATAACAATAAATAATTCCTAGGGTCAGAAATACTAACTTCCTGACCCAAGAGAGAAAATGCTACTAATTAGAATAATAGGTATTACTTGGAGCTCATTAATATTCACCTAGGAGAGTTTTAAAAATACTACATATACTATGATTGGTTTAGATTAAATTAACTGTTTTCAATCCTTCAGTTTTATTTTTATGTGTTAAACTGAACTCAAGTGGAATTACTTATACCTAAAGACTACATAGGTAAACACTAAAGTGTAATTTCTGAATTTTGTTCAATTTAAAGATATTCAATTCTGAACAGAATGCTAAGTAAATACATAAAATTACCACATTTCTTTCAACAATAAATGACAGCTTAAAAATCATTAAAATTTTTAAATGACTATTATAATTACAGAATAGTCAAATAGGAAAACAGTTTGTTGAATTTTCAAAACTGAATTCCCTGAAGATCAATGATTTTTGTATTTATAGTAATCTTGTCAATGCTAGGTAGACTTGATATAAAAAAAATGGTATTAAAAAAACATTTACACATAACCTTAAAAATACTACTACTGCTTGAAATTACCCAACATCCACAATTTAAAAACCCGTAAGTGCATGTAGTGATGTTTCTGGTTGCCCAGGGATGCTCACTGTTCACCTAGGAACCGCCAGGGCTGCGTCAACAATTAACTCCTTGGGGACAAGGATTCTTGGGGTCCCTGGAGGAAGGTGGGGTGAAAGGGCTCCAGGAGAGCAGCACCAAACCCCATCAACTGCATCTGCTTGCTTGTTTCTTTGCTCTTATTTCTCAGTGTTCTGGTGGTTTTGTTTGTTTCATTGATTTTTGCCTGTCTTTGTTTTGAGGGTGATGAAATTTTGCAAGTAAATATGTAAATATTAAATGGCTAAATGAAAAAGCTTTAAGAAGGATCAAACCAGCATCAAATGTGCAGTATCTACGAATTATCTATAAGATTAAGACATAAATAGGACCCCAGTCACATTCTGTACATTGATTATCAACACACCACACAACCACCACCCCCAACACACACACACACACACACCCCACACACACACACACACACACACACACAACTAATTACCTTCTTTGGCACAGCTTGGTTTCAACCCAAATATACAACCAAGGATTGTTGTTAACACACAGACTGACAAAACCTGTGGGAAGAACAAAGACAATTATTTAGCTTCAAAGCCCTTTTATTTCTTTAAATGTTTTATATCTTCAAATGATTGTAAACTGCTGGTGCCAGTCAGTTCCCTGGTCTGGGGCTGGTACCATAGACATGGTCACTTTGTGAAAATTCCAACTGCACGCTTTGTCTATTTTTCTGTATGTCTGTAACATCACAAAAGTCTATTAAATTATATTAAATAAATCTATGTCATCCCAAGGTTAATGTGCCAGAAATTTCATAGCTGAAGTAAATGAATATAGTCAGAAAAACTAATTTAGGAAGGTGGAGAGGATAATCTCTTTAGTTACGCAATTTACAGTTTGTTAATCCACAAAAGACAATATGAGAATATTAGACAATTCATTTAATAGTTTAACCTCTCAGACCTAAATACTATCTTCACAGGCACTGTAGCAGCTTTTAGGAATGAGCACTGGACCGGCTTAGATCATTATCTCCTGGGCTCAAATGTAATGAAAAACTGGTTGTGTAGCTTGGGGCAGGTAATGTAAACTTTCTAAACATCAGATTATTTACCTATAAAATTAAAAGTCTGGATGACACAGATGTCTAAAGAACTTTCCAGTTCTAGTTTACCACTTCCTTCATCTCTATTCTTTTAGAGACATTTTAAACAACTGGATATAGCATATAATTCCTAAAACAATAATAGAATGTTTGTTTGTGATTTAAAATAAAAAGGTGCATCATAACTCACAAAAAGAAATCCTCAGTATGCTGTAAAAGAGAGGTTTCTTGACAGCTCTCTAAAAGGACAGTTTACACGGCAATTCGACAACAACAAAAAATGCGCCGAGTACCAACTATATGTAAAGACTTTAAGTCTCCAGGCTAGGTATTGGATAGTCAGATAAAAACACATAATGACCTTTGTCCTCAAGTCACTACTCAAGAACTGAGGATAAGACAGCAGGTTTAGGGCCTCCCTGGTGGTGCAAGTGTTTAAGTCTCAGCACTATGAAGCTATCCACACCCATTGCATCATGAGTTTGATGCCCTCCAGGGAGCTACCCACATGGTGCATCAGATCTCTCCTGTCTTACCCACTGCTCCCCTCCGCAGTGTATATCAGTAGATCTGCCTGTTCTGCTTCCCACTCTGTCTCTGGTGAATACTCTCACCCTCCTACCTCTGGCCTGTGCAACAGCACTTGTATGTGTAAGTAAATAAATATTTAAAAAGAGAGAGAGAGAGCAGGTAAAACTTATTTCAAAAGAAAATAAGGGGAAAGGAAAGGAAAGTTAAGAATAGAGTGGGTCTAAAATGTAACAGGATCAAAGTCAGACTTTCTTTAGGAAAGCAAGAACTAAGTGTATAAAAGTCCATTAAAATAGGGACCCATCAGAAAAATAGACAAAAGCAAAGAAAATATCAGAAGAGTACAAACAGATTGCTTAGACCTTTGGTTGAGGTATAAACTGAAACCATATAGGGAAGGATAATTTAAAAATATTTTCAGAAATATTAAAAACTTTCACCGTCAATTATAAACATGGGGAAACTAAAACTTAATGCAACCAATCTGTATTTAGTTTACTATAATTTAAAAGATGGATAACTGAAGTTTTATTTGTGAGAAACTTATCAAGAGTAGTCTGAACAATGCTTTATTATGTTCTCATATAATTTACAATACAGCGTGAGAATCTTGTCTATGCCTCAGTTAACTATGACCTTCCTAAATTTAGATCAGTTCCCAATATTTTAACCTTTGTAGTTTCAATATCATGAAATATCTCCAACAGTTCCTTTAATGTGAGTTTTTGTGCCAACAGCACTTCCTCTAGGACGCCTTTACGCTTATCATCACAACTGTGCTCCTCATTCATGTGAAGAAATGCTCTGTCACTAAATTCCTAAGGCTGAGTACCTAGAGTCTATTGAACAGCAGCTCTGTTAATATTTCTACAGTTAGCGATTTCCTCTATACCTTATCGACATTTGATTTGAATCTCCCTTGCAGCATTATCACTGTATTTTCATCTTTATCAGTCCATTTTCTCTTCCAATTATCCACTTCTATAAAATGGCATGTAAGTGTACCATTGGGAGACAAAGAAGCAACATTACTGGAAGCTTTGCTTTCTGTGCTTGAAACTGAACAAGACAACAACGGTGACCAATCACCACAGACTTAGTTGGTCACTGAGCACAAAACACATCTGTTATTTACATATTGTTTTGTCAACTGAAAAGCCAGGGGCAAGGCTTATACTTCATGAAATTACTCAGTGAATAAACCTTGATAACAGAAAATGAACCATGTTGTTGGGTAGCTTTTGTGATTTAATTGAACTGTGCTGACTGGAATTATTCATGTCAGAGTCACACAAAACTAGAATGGCCTGTCCTCTCATAAGTGGGCAATATAGTTGGCTAAGGGTGTTTATTTCAAAACTATTTAAAAAGCAGAAACAGCATTCATTTTAAGAAACTGATTTAGTAAGGCATGTTTAATCTATAAAATGGAGAGGCTATCCTCAGAGACAAGTGTGTCAGAACAGGGCTGAAAGGAAGATATAGAAAACAAAAATAAAGACCTGAGGTGTGGCCATAGGCAACTGGCAGCAGCTGATGATGAAGCTCTTAAATCACAGGAGAATTCACTGTGGGGCTCTGAATTAATGGGGGGCTCAGGAAACTCCTTGTGAGGGATGGCAGTAAAATCAGTGAGGGCTGAGTTAAAAAAGGACTAGCAAAGAGAGTCAAGCTCTGGGAGCTCAGCTCAATCTGAGATCCTGAGCTAAGGTGTAACCAAGTGACTGGAATTCCAGGAGGGGAAGTGAGGGAAGAGATAAAATGGTGACATCGTGTGGGGAGATGTGAAGGCAAAGAAAACAGCACAAAAGTAACAAGAGAGCCCTGGCGTGGCTGCAAGGACTCAACCGGTGAGGACCAGGTGGACATACATGGGTATTTGAACTGAGAACTGGGAGAGGAAGACAAGATGAGGAGGGTGAGGGAATAGGAACAAGTGGGGGGAGGGAGCAGAAATTACCAACTCTGAAAGGAATTTCAGAGTCTGAGTTTTCAGAAGTGGGAGAGTTTGGAAAGGAAATGAAACTGTAAGTATAAATCTGAAACTGGTTTAAGGTAATTGCTAGATGTAAGAAGGTCTGAAAGTCCTCGCACTTTTACTCGTAATTAGAGTTAATCTTTCATTTTTAATGAAAATCACTATGAGAACTTTATTCATATTTTGAAATTTATTGACTTAAAAATATGTATTTCCTCACAACTCTAAGAAATTCGGTCATGAAAATGTTTTACAAATAACTTTACTATTCTTACTAAATATAATACAGAATTCATGAGCAAGTCTCTCACAAGTAAGCCTTATCTTGAAGAAAGCCATGGAACATTGTGGTGGTAAGCAAGCACTTAGATGGTAACCACTGGTTTAAAACACACATAATTATATGGCAGGTTTTTACTCTCTTGTTAAGCTTCAGAAAAGGCATGCTTTTTTTTTTTAATAACTCTTCCTTGGTAAAAGGTATTTTTATAATGTGCATTTTTCTAATGTGCATTAGTCTTTATCAAACATTCATTCAAATGCATGTGTTTAACTGTGCATAAGAAAGGTCAGAAATACAAACAAAAGCAATTCCTTCCCTGAAAGAGAGGCCAAGGTTAGGGGGTGGACATTAAAATGAATGCTAACATGCTAACAACACAGAGGAGAGAAGAGAGACCGGCTATTAAAGGTTTCACAGATTTGGAGAAGAGTGGATTTCTTCCTCAATCAATAAACAAATATCTGAGTGTCTGCAGTATTCACTATATTGAGATTCTGTGGAGACATATAAAAACAAAATTAAAAAAAAGGTTTGGTGAAACTTTAATCTCAGAGTTTGCAATGTATTCAGGGCAATGGCAACTCTAGAATTTGTTGATGAAAAAAGACTAAAAACAATGAGAAACAAACTGAAGACTTAAACTACATAGTGACAATATATGAAATGGTGCTTTTATGCAAAGCGAAGAAATTAAAAAAAAACTAATAGTCCAGGAAACAGAAAACAATGAGGACACAGTAACAGCCATCACGTCTACACAGTGCTTCAATGCACTGGGCACTTACCTAAGCGTTATACATCAGATCATTTAATCCTCACAATAATATTAGGAGATAGATTATTGTGATTAATCCAGTTTAATGAAACTGATGCAGAGAGGTTAGTAACTTTTCCAGGATCACAGAGTTAATAAGCAGCAGGGGCAAGATTTGAACTCAGGCAGTTTGACTGTAAAGAAATTGGGCAAAAGAGGGGTACAGGAAGGACTCAAAGGGGGTTCCAGCTTTAGGGTCAGTCACTGGGGAGCTGTTGAGGTCCATGGAAGTGACATAACTAGACTGAAAATTCTAGAGAGATCCTTTGGCAATTTTAACGATGGCTGTGGTCCAAGTGTGAGTTCAGGGGTGAAATGAAGGCTTAGACTTACCCGCCTCTCTTCTCTCAGGAGATGCTCAGTGCTCCTTGAGCTCTTTGCCCACCCCTACGATAAAGATTTGTTTATTTGTCTGTCTCTGATTAGACTGGGATTTCCAAAAAGGTCTGACTTACTCATCTCTGTATTTTTTACATCAAGCATGGTGCTTAGAATATAGCAGACATTCAACAAGTAATTCTTGAGTTCAAAATCAGTACGTTGTGATTTAATTAAACATAATTTTGCGGGAATCCATAAACCTCCCACCCTTCCTCATCTAAGTTGAGAAAGTCAGTTTGTTAAAGTGACTTTGTGTCTGTTTTACTCAAAGGATGCCCACAATAAATATGCATTATTTTTTTAAAGATACAAATTATTGGATTTGCTGTTCAAATGGAATATAAATGTTCATTGTGAAGATAATCAGTTAACCACATTGCCATCAGCCTCTGACCTTTGAACAAAGCTACATGTTTTCTAAAAACAACTCTGTGAGAACACATATCAGTGCACAGCTGTGAGTCT